AATAGGTAGAGACAATCGGGGGAAACGTCATTAAACATTATGGATTATGGTTTAGTTTACAGACTTTCTGTCTCTTTCTCTGGTCATATGAGAAATTGTTCATAAGCAAAATGGTCACGAGATGTCTCACTTTATACTGATCACAAGGTGAACAGTTCACAATATGCCAACCTGCTTGAACCTAACATATCAAGATGGGAGTTTGTATTGACAAGAGTATTAAAGGGTGTGTGACGCTAATCTCTATGTTTATTTCTGCATCAAAGTCTCTATGTCAGGTCAATATTTCCACACTGGTTTTCATTTGCGGACAGCTGACTTGGAAACACAGGCCTACGGCATAATTATGTGGTACATGCTTTAAAAGTTGACTTATTTTCGAATATACGATTTTACTCCCCGTATTGTTGAAATTAGGCCCTCAGCACGTGGTTGGAAAATTTAATTTCATTTTGCATTTTCGTTCGCTTTGCTAAAATACGTTCCGGGTTTTTCATTTTGATTTGGCAGTGTACAAAATGTGTTTAATGTAGTTAAATTGGTATCGTAGGTTACTTTGACAGAATGACGGCTACGAAGTTTTTTAGGCAAGTAAGGGTGCCAAGATGAATATAAACCGGTGCCTCAAATACTTTATATATTTGTCTTACCTGCTCGCAACCATTCTAGAGATATTCTGATCAACAATAGACTTAAATTCTGGAACAGTGAAAAAAAAATAGAATTCAAACCTTCCCTCGCCATAGAGTAAAGGCTTGTGTACTCTAAAATAGAAGAGTTCTACAGGACGATACGACCTGTCGAATCGACCAAGTATATAAAATTTTGAATTCATAGTAGAAATGACTTCAAATAGTATCATATTACCACCTACAAGCCTTGAACTGAAAAAGTCAAACATCTCTTATTTTCTGCAAAGTGGCATACAAAAGACAAATATGACCGGTCGAATCCTCCGAATCTGATGACTGAAATAACTTCCGGTTGGTAGCCTGCAGGTAAAAAAATGTCCAAAATTAAAATGATGATAGGCTTATAGTAAATATTGTAGGTATTTCGTGTAATAGAATTACAAACGACTGCATTTTGTGAGCTATGTGAGCGAAGCCCGTCGTCTCACTCGCTATGAGGCATCTTCAAGCAATTAGCCTACGAACTTCGTACTTAGTCTATTTACTGTAATAGTCGCTATTCTTGGATCACTGAACAGGCCTACATCGATTTGATTGGATTGTACGCCAGCGAATAAAGCCAATAGGAGCCCTTTCTGCCAAATTTCTATTACTGATAATCCGAAACCAAAACTCTGACCTAAACTTTGACTTTCAAAATGGTCGAATATCTGATTTCCCAACCCTAAAGTCAATTGATAAAAGTATTTTGTCATTTAACTACAAAATACTGTATACAATACAGTCATCAGGAATTGAAGATGATTTCATGGTAATAAGCATTATGATTAATAGCCTAAGTTATATAGGCTACATAGATGAAAGCATTCGCGATTAGTTATCGTAGAGTAATTATTATAGGCCTACATTTAAAATTAGATGTGATGAAGATTGGAGTCGACTGCATTAACACAATATGTGTCAAGAGTCAAACTTGCTGTGTCAATTTCCCAGAGACTGGCCAAACTCTTCAATGTTCACGATTTCGACACGTCTTCCGGTTTCTAGATTATCGACCAATCACATTGTTTAGTTTATTCAGTGTGAATCGATCAATATTCGGCTTATTTATTGACTGATGTTAATCACGTGTTTATTTTGAAAGGTCAATGAAATTTATTCAAACAAAGAGATGCTAGTTGTCTGTCGGTGGTGATGTACATAGGCCTTTTGAAGATATTATTGAAAGACGGATCGCTTCTAGAACTTGTGTCCAAAACATAAATAAAGACATAAAATACAGCTATAAACATAATGTATATAAGCCTTTTAAAACATCGTCAGGCCTATTATTAAAACGATATTAATTTCAGATTTACTATGTAAGTTTGCATTATATCATGTTCCTACTGCAACGGTAGTGTATTATCAATGTGGAAAATACCGTATCATTGCTAAAGGAACATAGTGACGTCATTAAACACTTATTTTTAGTGCAATTGCGGAACTATTGACGCCATGCTGAAAATTAGAATGGTGCAAATTGCTTCTATCAGTATCCCGATACACATACAAAAATTAGAAAGCCTCCTCACAGTCCCTGTAAGAGCAGTTTATATACCACAGCAATTTAACTAAGTTAAACCATGTAACAGTGCCAAAATAGCATACCAGTTTTATCCTACCTCAACCACTCTGTTAAGGTAAAAGGTAAATCTTGCGGAGATAGATAAACATTCCACCGAAAAAAGGAAATCAACAAATCTAAGATTGATTTTCCAAATTATCGAGGTCAAGTTTTCGATTTGTAGAATTTGGTGATGGTTATTGAATTGACAGAAATCTGTGGAAATGTAGCCCTACTTTTAGTGGAAGTTGTTTGGTTTTCAGGCCATAGCTACAGGGGGACAAGGTGGGGGGGATTGCCCCAAAAATAGACAATTGACCCATTCCATTAATGCAACTAAAAACCATATGACATGGTCTCTGGATATATTACTTTTCCTCCGAACAACCAAGTCTGGCTACTGGCCTGTAGCTTTGTTTCTGAAAATTCCAAAGTCATGGCGATGCCAAAGTTAAGATCATTATTAGGTGAAAAGGAAGCTCCATGATGTTCCCCTTCAACACGGAAACAACAAGGCGTAAAACTCCTTGTGAAGGGATGGAGAAAAATTGATTATGATTGTGTAAATTATCCAAGGTTTCGTTGTTTAAAATCATTTAAACTAACAAAATGTAGAGGAACTTTAGTAAGGACGATAATTGTCCGAATTAAACAGTGTATGTTGATACAGTGAAAGATTAAACTGTTAATCAAGGTGTATATCAATACTTTAACTCGCCTAGTTCTACATGCTCTTTATTTACTACTAAAATATTAACATAAGACAAGACTCGTATTCCAGTTAATAGCTATTTCAAAGGATTAGATTCAGATTGAGTGCTATGAAAATATGCGCTTTATGGTCATATTATACCAATAGCAACTGTTGCGATAGTGACGTCATACAAGTAACATTTCTGTTTTTGAAAACAGACTGTGTAAGCAAGTTAAAAGAAAATGAACAATGATTACTCCCGCGATAACCTTAAATCGATTTTTGGTGCACACTTTCCCTTTAATGAAACGAAATTTGGGATTAGTGTTTAATCCAATACCAATGACTTTATGTTGGCCACTCACAGTGAGAATTCTAATTTAAAGCATTTTGAAAATGCTAAACTCACCGAGAATACCAAACTAACACTTGAGTGTTTGGAGAAATTCGTTAGGAATTGATGGAAGAATAAAAGGGACTGTGTTAAAAGAGGTAATATAGATACAATTAACATTGTGGAATCTTTGATTGTTTCTGACAGAGATTTGAATTAAAGGAGTCATTCTAGTCTTTTTAAGTACGAATAATTAACCATGCATGCTTTATCTTTGCAAAAGAAAAAAAAATGTACAAGATTCTTTATTAGGTCATGATTGAATAAATTGTACAAGATTCTACAATAAATCATGATTGAACAAATTGTACAAGATTCTACACTAAATCATGATTCAACAAATTGTACAAGATTCTACAATAAATCATGATTGAACAAATTGTACAAGATTCTACAATAAATCATGATTCAACAAATTGTACAAGATTCTACAATAAATCATGATTCAACAAATTGTACAAGATTCTACAACAAATCATGATTCAACAAATTGTACAAGATTCTACAATAAATCATGATTGAACAAATTGTACAAGATTCTTTACTAAGTCATTATTGAATAAATGTAGAAGATTCTCCAATAGGTCACGATTGAGTAAATTGTACAAGATTCTTCAGTCATGATTGAATAAATTTTACAATATTCTTCAATAATTCACGATTGAATAAATTGTACAAGATTCTTTAATAATTAACTATTGAATAAATTGTAGCCTACAAGGTTCTCCAATAAGTCATGATTGAATAAATTGTACAATATTCTTCAATAAATCACGATTGAATAAATTGTACAAGATTCTTTAATAAGACACGATTAAATAAATCTATTGAGTTTATGTTTTTATTAGCCACGGAGTTGTCTTTTACATAATCTAGAAAATCAGTTGACGTCGTATAATAACAAGACCAATTATAGTATCAATTGGTAGGGTACTTTGAAAATGACAGAAAACAGAAGGACGACAGACTAATAACAGAAACATTTCACACCAATACATTATAATATTTGATACAAAAAAAGAAATACAAAAACCGAGATGAACGACGGCAAATTGCAGCCAGCAAAGTTATCTGGATGAATTAAATAGTTGTGAAATGCTGATGATTGTTGAACTTTATCTTTTATAATTCTCAGAGCTTCATCGATTCTATTGTGCTTTATTAAATATATCAATTCTGTCTTATTAATGGTAGATAACTCTTTCATCATTTCACCAAATATCGCTGTACTATTGGTGGAGGTGTCCCTATCTAGTTGTAATAAAGCTGATACGTTCAAACCAGCTTTTTGAAATAAAAGTCCCAGGTTGACCATTGAAGCTGAAATCATATACTCTGTTGGATTTACAGTGGACTGAGTTGGTGATGTAGAGTTACACTCAGCAGAAAAAATGAGAAATGACGCTAGTGTAACATAAACCAAATATAACCACCCCATCTTATAAAATATAATTATCTGAAAAATATTCATAAATCTGAAATTTATCCAAAATGACAAAATATTAAGTTAAGACTTGAAGGAGATTTCCTGGCGGAAGGGCAATCAGGACATTTATTGGAAGCGCAACCCAACCTTTTAGTGACAGAAGTTCCATCCAGACAGTTACTGACAGAAGCTCAATCCAGACATTTACTGACAGAAGTTCAATCCAGACATTTACTGACAGATGCTAAATCCAGACATTTACTGACAGAAGTTCAATCCAGACATTTACTGACAGAAGTTCAATCCAGGCATTTACTGATAGATGCTCAATCCAGACAGTTACTGGCAGAAGCTCATTCCAAACATTTACTGACAGATGCTCAATCCAGACATTTACTGACAGGTGCTCAATCCAGACATTTACTGATAGAATCAATTTATTTACTACCCAATAGAACATTATTTATGAAAGCACACGGTGTAACTTCGCACTTTTACTTTTACTACAATAGTTACCTTTTTAGTATTGCGGTAAGCAGCGATTTGATTGGATTATACACCAGCGAAAACAGCTAATCAGAGCCCCCAACAGAAAGGCTGTAAATATCAATACTCTGTGTTTAGCTAACGTACAAACCAGTCAAATCGCTTCATTTACAAATGTTCGTGATACAAGAAAGCTGACTCCTGCAGTCAAGGTATAAGACGTATAGTTCGTATAGCTTGGCATTTTGAAGATGGCTTTTTACAGACACAGGCAATCCAGGCTTTTTACATAATAAAGAAATACGTGCTTTACCTTGCCAAGTCGTAGCGCTCACTGATTTCGATTGTCAAATTGCACAATTCAAATATATACGTTACTATGTTATTATCATTTCAACTAATATCATTATGTTATCTATATACAGGAGTGTCTTTTTAAAAGCAATAACATATAGATAATCACATTAAAAAGTCATAATTTATCACAGGAGGGTTAATTGAAAAATTGAAAAGAACTTTTGTCATCAACAATTAAGTACTATCATAAATATAAGAACTGCAAAATGTAGCCTTATTATTTTCTTTGTACCAGCATAAGGGACAGATTCTTCATCGTTTGACCAATCGTACCTTAGTTTCAAAAACGGATTTTCTTAACTATAAAGTTATAGTGTTCACAGCTCACCGTCGAAATTTGAGCCTTCAAATCCATATGTGTCTAGAATTATCCTCGTTTGAAATTTAAGATGACGACTCGTCTTTTCTTGAGAACTATATAGAAAAAGAAGTGAAATTCCTAGTTTTTTTTCGCAGGATGCTCGACTGTAAATGGACGATCGGACCTAGCTCTTCAGGGCAGGTAGTTGCCATCGAATCTATTGATGCCAATATCGGAGATACTACAAATTGTAGTGATTATTCTGTCAGTATCTACGACGGTAAGCGCTGTTACTTAGTTACAGTATTTTTTTTTTTTTTTTTTGTTTATATTCGATTCTTTTTTTTTTTTTTTTTTTTTTTTTTTTTTTAAATATATAATATAATACAATACAAAATATAATACAATACAATACAAATGCATGATATATATAATTTAGTATTTACAATAGAAATATATATATTAAAATCAGTATTATATTATAAAAAAAGGAGAAAATATAGGTTGGAAAGATTGATAGAATGAGATAAGAAGACAAAAGAGGAACCCCTGAAGATGAAAGTATGACCAAAAACATTATGATATATCACAATATACAATAAAGCAACATATGTATACATGTTATATTAGTTAGTTGGGGTGTACTTCTTAGGGGGGAACCGGATTATGTTAAAAAGAAGATAATTATAATATCAATTTTCACAAAGATATCTCGATTCAACAAATCAACATTGTTTATGTAGAGGTTTAAAGGGATACAGTTTCTAAATATTCACATGATCTATCAATCAAGATTTTTATATCAGAATAACATGAAGCAAAATAATTATCAGCTGATGCAACTGTCACTGATGACGTCATGATAGCGAGAGTGCTTTACATCCATGATAGGTTTTTGAGTAATTGATAGAGAAGCGGATGACAATAAAGAATTCATCACTTTATCAAGAAACGGCTTTAACATGACACGCTTTGATTGGTTTAAAATTCTATCATTAGGAGAGACTTTTGGTAGAAAACTTGCTAGATTACAATGAAGTAATAAAAATGATAAAAAATCAGCGAAATTGAAACTTAATCAGATTTCAGCTGTTTTAACAAGATTTTTTCCTTTAAAGATCCAGTTTTACCTGTTCAGCCTGTGCATACAATATTTAAAGGGATTTGTATCTAATATTTCTTCAATTCATCGGACGAAACAAGACACTATACTTTCCAGAATGGAAATCAACATACATGTCTTCAGGTGTGTCGTTACAAAATAACACATTTTTGTAAAGTACAATATATACGAGATAACAAGAATATACTAAATGATTTTCTATATAATCAAAATTGTTGTATTTTCCAAAGATACTATTGTAATATGGTTGTTATTTTATTTCCCCCTCAAAACAACATTTTATGTCACGTAGATTGTCCATTTACATATCCGTTTACTTTCTCATTCAAAATGTCAGAGACAGTTAGGCCCCATTAACACAAGTTTTGATCATTTTCAAATACATGTGGATGATTAATCTCTTTTCAAAATATACTTTTGAATACTGATAAAGACTCAGATCGGTTTCTTGAACATCAGTTTGAATTTGGTAAGTATCTGTATGATTAAATTCATGAGATTTACAATGTCGTCTTTGATTGAATATGGTTGTAATTTGAATGTATGGTATACTGTTTGGTTTGGTTTGGTTTAGATTGGATTTTTACAAATTATGATTAAAAGGATACTACATCTTAGAATGGACATAAAATTTAAAAGTCTCAAACTTAGTCAACAAGTGTATATATTTATCAGTTGGACTTACCAGGTGTCATGACTAAAGAATACAATCTCTATATGAGACAATATATCCATTAAACTAATTAATTATGGACAAACGCTTCTAATCATGTTTCCAAATTACTTAGTTTAATTATTTAGAAATGATTTTGTCGATTTATAGATTTTATATAGTTATGACACCAAGTAAGACCATTTTCATATTAAGCAAATTTTCACATTTTTGATCATTCTAAGAGGTAGTATACCTTGAAGGTTTAGAGTTGTTTTATTCTTGATCATATGAGGACATTGAAGGATCTTCTGTAAAATAATTATGAGGAGATAATATAAATGATAGTTGTTTTCCCGGTGTTTGAGTTAGTGGTAGATCTTCAGTAGTTGGTAGATGAATAATTCCTAGAGATATCCATGCCACTAGATCCTGAAATAAATAAACCAATTTCTATAATCGTTAGGAAATATAATAATACATTGAAATTTTAAAAATACAAAACCTGGGCTTAAAAGATTTAAATATTTGCTGGTACAGCTCAACTTCCGCTATCAACTTTTATTTTTCAGAATTGCAAATCCAAATCAAATATTGAGACGACATTTAAACTGTTTAAATTTTGCCTAAGGCATTTTGATTTTTATTGTGAGAAGAGATAATATAGAAAATGTAAGTTTATTTCAAGTCATACTTAGTGTACTATATAGCTCTAAGCTCATAGCTAATGCCAATCTTATAGCCGCTATATCAGAAGACATGTTTTAATAGCTTAATGTCTTAGATTACTTGTGTCTGATTCGTCTGTAGCTCACGAATTGCTTCAATGTAAAGAAACTACGTTTTAGAATACAATGTTGCTTCAATTATTCTCAATTCTAAACCGACTTCAATGAATACACTTATTTCATCCCAAAGCTGCGATTATATGTGTATGTAAGCGCTACTCAAACTTAAACTCAAGCTCAAAATGTGATTACATGTGCCCATGCGATGATTGTAAATCGTTAACGTAAAAGAAAAACTGCTGTAATGGGTCAGGGACATCCACAGTAATGATATCATAAGGGGTTTTCCCACTTTGGCACCTTAATTGAAATTGAAAACATGTCCGTAACCATCCGCAAACGCAGAAAATCCCTCACTGAGCCATGCGTTGCACTTACGGGAACATTTGGGAACACACGTAAGCAGAAATTGGGATTTGCTACGGAATTTGATAGGATTGGCTATGGTCCTTTTTCATGGCATAAATTGGCATAAAATGCTCAAAATGTTTTACCTCTTACCTTATTTTCATTATGAAAATGAAAATACTAATACTTATTTGAATAGAAAGTAGAGGTGTTCTTATGACTTGGACAAGTACCAGTTTGTCTCAAAAGTCCATAATTAATTCATAATTTTTAGCTAAATTAAAAGAGAATTATCAGAAAATTCAAATGATGGATCAAGAAAAAAATATTATGTTACAAATTACGGATTTTAGCATCTTCACAATTTTCGCGTTTATGTTTCTAATCAACTTATTGAGAAGCAAAACAATAGTATCACTCTATATATTATTGAAGATATTTTGTAAAATCGTTATGGTAGATAAGGACACACATATAAACAATTAACAACGAAAGACATTACTTTATACATTAATTAGCCTATAACAAAGAAAACAAAGGTTAGAATTTTTTATTAACTTCAAATTAGTCGTTAATCTACGCCATGTAGTGGAATTTGGCTACAACGTTTTACATATTATTTTGCATTTTGTATGTTATTACGTGAACTATTGTATAGCTTTTGTGCGATGCATTGAACCAGTGAGGCCAAATTAGACTACAGAACAGCATGATACAAACACAAGGTTGTATTAGACTGTATTTGTATAATGACAACATGCCGAAAAGTTTGATTGGTCTAAAATTCAGTTCTTGGCCAATCATATTCATTGAAAAAAATATACAAGTTGTTGTGATATGGTCGCCATTTAGCAGACATAATTGTCATGTTTGCCGTATGTCATTGTGACAAGAATGCAAGTTGGTCAAAGGACGTATAGTTGGCATGTAATCAGTGGTGGTGCCATCCTCCCGAAACTGAGGGTACAAACAGGAGGCAGACTGACTCAATGGGGGAACAGCTGCCGAGACTGAATTCAAAATGCGGCAGCTGTGCAGATTCAATGTATCAAGCCTTCCATGGACAAACGTGTAAATATTATTAAATTTGTTAAAAACAGAGTGGGGGTACAGTTTGCGGTGCAAATCACTTTTCTGAGGATTGCCCCCCTCCCCCTTCCTTTCCCCTTGCTATCGCCGCCTCTGCATGTGATGTGGTCTATTGATCTGGATGATTAGGTCGGTACTGTAGTGTATAGTCTTGATATATCGATATTTAACCGCATGGGTCTTATTGCTATCTACATGATAGATTTCTACTATCAGCATCTATCCTCGCCTAAAGGCAAAAAGATTTGCATCTTGGTTGTCGACATAAAACAAAAGCTGTAGGGTTTATAGGCCTATTCGAACTGTACAAATGATATCAGATAAAAGCAATATTGGTCACGTTTAAGATTTTATTTTAAGATCAAGCAAATCCATTCGATAAAGATAGTATATTATTATAAATATGCGCACTTCAGCATGCAGTTCGTGATATACCTTTTCTCAATTGATCTTCTGTCTTTGGTTATATCTCTACATACCATGTTATACGAAAATCGGTTCAAACCCAAGTCCCCCCACCCTCCTTAAAAATGGGAGCTATCCTAAGAAAAAATCTTATAACCGACTAATTAAATAAATGCAACTATGGCGTTGTAAACGTCACCTCGTGAGATAATATCGGTTCAATGAACAACAACAATCGACGAGGACATAGAATGTAATCGTTTATACTAGATTGTCATGTATTACAGGCCTACTGTAGAAAATTAGTTTATTTCTGTTACTGTGGATATACATAATAGGTCTACTGAAGATTTACATCAGAAGGCAAAGATTTGTATACAAGTTGTAACATAATAAGATGTTTTGAAATATATCTTAGGTAAAGATAACCTTCTCTTCCAAAGATAATAAGATTCATGAAAAAACATGTCTTTGCTGTAGTTAATAGTATAGTAAATAAGACTCTACTACACGACAGAAAGGTAATCATAATTATTTCTTACAGTTTTCTTCATAAGTTAGCGCCGGATTCCAGCAAAGTTACTATATGTTTAAACCGTATCGGCCATCAGTAGAACTTAAAGGACATCAAATTGTATATTATTCTGTTCATTCTTATTGATCCTCATGGAGTTAAAGGGATTCTAACAAGGTCTTCTAAACAAAATTATGAGTATTGGGGACACTAATAGCATCAATTTGTACCATTCCAATTTTCAATCAGACACCTGTGCTTCCTGCAATTCCACCAAAACTCCACTAAAACTTAGTGAAGTGATAGAGAATATTTTGCAATTAGTGACGTCATCAAACACTTATTTTATCTGGAATGCCGAGAACCACAAACGTCTGACTGAAACGAGGAATGGTGCAAATCGATGCTGTCAGCGATAACATAACTTTTCTTTAAAAAAAAAAACAACTCTATACAATCCCTTTTAGAATAGTACTTATCAATGACCATTGACCTGTAACTATAATTGGTATAGTGTATTATAAAACCTTATCCTAAATTCATTCATGCACGACGCCCAAAATTTTGTAGATATAATAATATATGGTTGATTTAGACCCTATTCATCTAGCCTTCCATAGAAATCATTCAGCAAACAACAGATAAAACTTTTTTAAAGGGACAGCTGTGCCATTTCTTTTTATTTCTGTGGATGTCCTCAAGAAAAGACGACTCGTCTTTTTATCTTTCAATCGCGGATAATTCTGGACACACATTGATTTGAAGGCTCAAATTTCGACGGTGAGCTGTGGACACTATTACTGATTGGCTTGACTAAAAAAAGCCGCCACCAATCCAATCTACTATCGCTTTTAATTTGCAGTATGTAAAATCTTTATTATTCAAAACGTGGTTTTATATATCTGAAGATATATTACTAATACGCTATTTACATCTATATTATAATGAGTGTTGAGCCTCATATAGTTGATACCTTTTGAATAAGTAGCAGACATATTATTCTACAACTAGATGTTTATTTTGCTTGAATTACCAAAAAACATACCGAATTTAAAAAGTTTACGTAAACCTTTTAAATAGCATTAGCTTTAAAACGGCAAGCAGGATTTCTTTGAAACTTTCAGATAAGACGTTTCTCTAGATTTTGGTGTATAGCTTTCATAAATTTGAGCAACAAATAAAAAATAAACACAAACCGAAAATTCGACTTTCGAAAGAAACATTATAATGCCCCTTTAAATGAATATTTCATATCTATTTTCTATTTTTTTTTTTTGAATAATGTATCGATCGAATTAAATCTGTGATGTAAAACGAATAAGCGTATAATTTATTCGGCAGTTTATGACAAACTGAAATACTAGCATTGTTTTAAAGTTTATTAGGAAAGATACTTCGAAGTATACATGGAATCAAAAGGACAAATGTCCGATGCGGACATTCAACTAACGAGACTATTATTTGATAAAGGTTTGTCTTTACGTTGTTTTGATGGCCGGATTTTATTGAGTTCTATAACATCAGATAAAGCTTGATATAAGGTATACCTGCATCACTTTTCAGGATAAAAATCCGTAATGGAAAATGCTATCGTTATCTTCGGTCTAGTTTCAACATTTCAACGAAGATGGTATCATAATGTCAGTCTTTTCCTCAAATATCAAAAAATAGCTTATGCTTATGTCAATAATTTATGATGTCGACAATATTTGGTATCATTATCTTATGCTATATTAATATGTCGACAATATTTGATATCATTATCTTATGCTATGTCGACAATATTTGATATCATTATCTTATTCTGTGTCAATGATTTGAAAAGTAGTATATATTATATAACATGTCGACAATATTTAATATCATTATCTTATGCTATGTCAATGATATGTCGACAATATTTGACATCATTATCTTATGCTATGTCAATGATTTGAAAAGTAGTATATATAACATGTCGACAATATTTAATATCATTATCTTATGCTATGTCAATGATATGCCGACATTATTTGATATCATTATCTTATGCTATGTCAATGATTTGAAAAGTAGTATATATAACATGTCGACAATATTTAATATCAATATCTTATGCTATGTCAATGATATGCCGACAATATTTGATATCATTATCTTATGCTATATTAATATGTCGACAATATTTAATATCATTATCTTATGCTATGTCAATGATTTGAAAAGTAGTATGTATAACATGTCGACAATATTTAATATCATTATCTTATGCTATGTCAATGATATGCCGACATTATTTGATATCATTATCTTATGCTATGTCAATGATTTGAAAAGTAGTATATATAACATGTCGACAATATTTAATATCAATATCTTATGCTATGTCAATGATATGCCGACAATATTTGATATCATTATCTTATGCTATATTAATATGTCGACAATATTTAATATCATTATCTTATGCTATGTCAATGATATGTCAACAATATTTGATATCATTATCTTATGCTATGTCAATGATTTGAAAAGTAGTATATATAACATGTCGACAATATTTAATATCAATATCTTATGCTATGTCAATGATATGCCGACATTATTTGATATCATTATCTTATGCTATGTCAATGATTTGAAAAGTAGTATATATAACATGTCGACAATATTTAATATCAATATCTTATGCTATGTCAATGATATGCCGACATTATTTGATATCATTATCTTATGCTATGTCAATGATTTGAAAAGTAGTATATATAACATGTCGACAATATTTGATATCATTATCTTATGTATATTAATATGTCGACAATATTTAATATCATTATCTTATGCTATGTCAATGATATGTCGACATTATTTGATATCATTATCTTATGCTATGTCAATGATTTGAAAAGTAGTATATATAACATGTCGACAATATTTAATATCATTATCTTATGCTATGTCAATGATATGCCGACATTATTTGATATCATTATCTTATGCTATGTCAATGATTTGAAAAGTAGTATATATAACATGTCGACAATATTTAATATCATTATCTTATGCTATGTCAATGATATGCCGACAATATTTGACATCATTATCTTATGCTAAAAGTATAAAACGTCCACAAGATTTGATATCATTATAAATTATGTTGTGTCAATTAAAAATAACATTAGTTCATTGGGTTTTTTGTGTATTACAGAAATGGAGATACAAAGAAAGGCAACAAGATGGCAGTGGTTAACAGGATTTCTGTCAGTTCTCTGTGTGATATTTTTCATCATTATCATAGTTTTATCAATCTTATATCACGGTGAAATCAATAAATCCAGTGAGGCATCGAAACAACAGTCAGAATGTCAACAGATAGTAACCAGATTTGAGGATGAGTTGTCAACGTCTACTCAACAATCTCTCCCGTCAAATGCCATTGATACATCCGAACCAACAAATCCTGACCTATTTCATGATTTGACAATATCGGAAATGAAAAATATATTTTCTATGCACCTACCACCTGGAGATCATTTTCAAACACTAGATCTGATTATCCCCAATAAAAAAGAAGCTTTAACTTATTTATCTGGCACTGGACCTAGACCTCCTCGACAAGCACGGTTAATTGTGTCCAGATCTAGCACCCAACCTCCCGTTACAGCGGAATACTCAGTGGATTTAAACAAAAAACCCTTGACACTGAAACTGATAGATTATGTAAATAGGAGAAATCCCGTGGAATACTCATCCAGTCCAGTCAATTCACATGGTTTGCGGTTTGCCATGGATACGATACATAAAGAAATTGGCCATATAATAGAGGAAAGCTATGGGGTTAATATCAAAAACTGTCGTTCAAAGTGTTTGTTTCCTCTCCCAGTGGCTGCTTCCTCCACATTTTTTGGAGAGTTGAAGAGAGCAGAATGGGTATCTTTTATGTACTCAGCAGATTATTTCACGCTCTATCCAATAGATTTTATGTTTTTTTTGACGTTTAACAAAACTAACCCAGCTGGAAGCCAAATTGAGAACGTTAGTTATGGCGGTCAACTGTTCGATTCTATATCGGAATTGAAAACAGCTTACGAATCAGGTACAATAAAGAAATCCAAATTTACCTTCCCAGATATACAGAAAGATACATTTTCAACACTGAACAGACGCGGTTCAGATCCCCAACCCTTTCCAAACAAACAGAAACCAAACATTATTGAACCGGATGGACCGAGATACACAATCAAACATAGACATATAGAATATCACGATTGGAAATTTGATGTTAGGATGTCCATGTTTCAAGGACCACAAATTTTCGATGTGAGATATCTTGGAGAAAGAATTGCATATGAAATTAGCATGCAAGAAATAGTGACATATTATTATGGTGATTCGAGAGCTTTAAGAGTGTCCAAACTGGTGGATGGTACGTTTCTTTTAGGAGCTTCTTCGGGGGTTTTAGAACCCGGTATAGACTGCCCAGAAACTGCCACATTTCTATCAACGGCTATGCCGCATTTGAAAATAAAACAAAATTTTTGCGTTTTTGAATTGAATTCGGGAATACCGTTAAGACGTCATGGAGGACGTGGTCTTGTGGATAGTTTCTTAGTTGTCCGCTCAATTCTTGTCTTAGCTAATTATGATTATATTGTGGACTTTATTTTCCATCAAAGTGGAATTTTGGAAACGAGAGTTGCTAGTACTGGATATATTCAGTCTAGTGTTTATTGGGATAAAGAAAAAGAATATGGTTTCCAACTACAAGATGGTTTATTAGGAACTCTACATCATCACATGTTTCATTTTAAAGTAGATTTAGATATTCTAGGTACATCTAATCGTTATGAAACACTTGATTTTAAAACTGTTAATGTTTCTAATGCTGACTGGTTAAAACCAGATAGTTATCAAACCCAAATTAAATTCGACCACAATTTGAAACATACTGAACTTGAAGCGGCTTACAAGTTTAATTTTGATACTCCCAAAGAACATATCATCTATAATGAGGATAAGAAAAATAGATTTAATGTGTCTCGTGGTTATAAAGTACAGATTGATGGTATGTCCAAACAATTACTACCAGAGGGGATGCATGGTGAAAGCGCAGTTACTTGGTCACGGCATCAAATGGCTGTAACAAAGTATAAAGATGAAGAGTATACCAGTACTTCTATATATGCAGCGTTTGATGGTCACGATCCTGTGGTAGATTTTTCTAAATATATTGCTGATGATGAAAATATAGTGGATGAGGTCAGTGTCAACATACTGTCAATTCTTAACTTTTTCTTTGCTTTCAATCAAGATTTCATCCAAATCGCACAATGTGTCTAACGGAGTAGTCTTGTGGGCTGGTTTTTAACAAATATGAAAATTTGTCCCATTTTTGGTTTATTTCAAAATAGCTACTATTTCTATCTTATATAAACGTTCGATTTTGACACATGGAACAAAGGGAAACCTTGTTGCAGATGAGACCAATGAGCAGCCGCCATTAGCCGTCGCTCCGCAGATGTCTTTTCAGCCAGTTGTGCAAGGAAAGCGCTGCCGATTTAAGTCATACGATATTTGCCACTTCGCTAATTCTTACAAAACATCAGTTCCACTGTTTGTCTGTAGTCTTTAGAGAAAGAGTTTATAGGTTGAAAAGATGCAGTACTGAAAGTTCTTCTAGCTATTCTCAAACACGTTGACTCACTCATCCAAGTTATTAGTGATAAAAATAAATCATTAGAAACAACATTGGCGATCAAAGAGTAGTGTATGCTTTGTTTTATGCAGAAGAAACATATGAATATTTATTTTCAAAAAATGCCAAACAAGTAGATTTGGAATTGGTCAGTCATTAATTGTCTCTACCAGATAGAGCTTACATTATACACATTGTATCCACTTTTCACCTTTGTTACATTAACCCCACTCAATCTGTTCATTCTAAACCCCACCAATCAATTATAAATAGTTGAACAGCGTCAGATCACCATCAAAGTAGTACTGTTAAATCTTCTTATACCAATAATGCCACTTTTCCCTTGTCATAGATTATACATGTTATGTTTTGCGTCATTTATAGCCGAGTTCTTGATGTAAATCCACCTTCATCAAATAGTAACAACATCTATGAGGATATAACACTTAGAACTGTAGAGTTTGTGTGTTAGCCGCCTTAATCATTTGGCTTGCTGAAAAAATCTAATTAACCAGTTGATTGCAAACTATGTCGGATCAAGAGTCTAGTTGTAAACAAACTCTTTTCCTACATTTCAGGATCTAGTGGCATGGATATCTCTAGGAATTATTCATCTACCAACTACTGAAGATCTACCACTAACTCAAACACCGGGAAAACAACTATCATTTATATTATCTCCTCATAATTATTTTACAGAAGATCCTTCAATGTCCTCATATGATCAAGTATAAACAATGAATGTTCGAATTCTCACCTGGCAAAGCATACCAATGTGTATTTCTACTTGAGAACAGTCCCACACCCAATATCAGTCTTATTAAGGAAGGAAATGTGTCCCAAGCTGTATTCCTCTATAGGTTGACAACCTAGACAGATATGAAATTCAACTTCGTGGCATATAATAGATTATTTATATTTAACATTAGTATTATTTATAATACTGATATTGTGTCAAACAGACAACCTCCAATTTAAATCAAAAGCTTAAAAGAGTCTAATCTATTTCCTCTTCATAAGAATACAAATAGTGTAGTCTGCGTTAAGGTGCGGGCCCACGAGTGGTCTTGGTCGGAGACTCTTGGTGCTGATTAGAGTCTTATCTTAAATTTCAACGACTGGTACAGTCACACGAGAATACAAAATATCCAGTCGGTCGTTTTCCATCTTGTCGATAATCACTATATTATAAATATTATAATCTTGTCGTGGAAGCACGGGCATACACAAGATGTTACTCTAAATTCGAGTCAGCGACAAAAATCTCCGACCAAGACACCTCGTGTGCCCGTACCTTTAATTAATTATGGACAATATTGAAAGAGATATAATGATGCAATATGTTTTTGTTGTTATGTATGTTTAGTTTTCTTTTAAAAGTGTATGGAGTATAATTATATTATGAATAGTGCAATTCATAAATCAATAATTAAATATTTAAATAGTTTAATAAACTGTTATATTTACTAATTATTTATTTAATTAGAAATATTCCCATTTCAAGCATTTTTTAAAAATCCTCTCTTGATTTGATATTCATCACCAACCCTCTTTTTTTAGTATGGGTTACTTAATATAAGATCCTTCCTAAAAGGGATTGATTTGGGAATATATTTTTAAAATAAATTATGTGTGTATTGGGGACACTGAGTGTTTGATGACGTCACGAAGGGTCTTGTGTGAAGACTATTTTGCGATTAATTTGCTTTGAGTGGAATTGCAGACACCACAGACGTTTGACTAAAAAATTTAAATGGAGCGAATTTATGATATCCGTGACACAGATACAAATAAAAAAATTTAGAAAACCTCTCACCAATTCCTTTAAAAAAAAAAATACAGCGCAAAACTAGCAATCATATCGATCAATGTAGCATATGGTATGTAGGTTAATAGGAGAAATATCAAAATATGTCTGTTAAAAGTCTCCATTTGGAGGATAATTTGACTTATTTATAATTGCATTTAAAAAACAATCATCTATATTAAATAGTATAATTGTTGTATATGGTCGCCTGAGAGGCTATACGCCCACACAACAGAAAACTTCATGGCATCTATAGTAGAAAACATATTTAATTCATTTAATCATTAGACTGTATAATTTGGTAATGACCTGAAAAATCAAAATGTCTCTGCACACCACTGTTGATATATTAAAGAGACAGATTTACCATCCGTTTGACCAATAAGTCTCAAACCAAACCAAGCTATTCAGTATTAGTATTAGAAATTTGAGTCTTCTAATCCATGTGTTTCCAGAATTATACCTGTTTGAAAGTTAGACAGACGACTCGTCATTTCTTGAGTCATATGAAAATAGAAAGAGAAATTTCTTGTTTCAGGTATTATAGAAGGAATTGTGTTATGTTTTTTTTTACATTTCTAGTACTTCTGAAGACTATTTACATATAATCAAGACCCCAATAACCTCGAAAATCGCGAATCTGCCCCTTTAAGCCAAGGTCAATCAGTAAAAAAAAAATTGTAAAAACGATCTTTCTAGATCTCAACAATATACATGTAAACATACCGAATTTCCATCGCGTTCACAAACGAAATTTGCTATATGACAAGGGCAATAACTCAAAAACCATTCATTCGATATATCCAGATTGGGCCTGTAACTTCAAATTCAATAAAAGATATCTGTAGTCTCATTGACTCAAAAACTATCAAATGTCCCACAAAATAGCAATTAGTGCCTGGTTTTAAACGAGATGCCACAGTGTCAGATTCAAATATAATGTAAAAGTCTTAATCATAATCTATTCTATTCTATAATGTTATTTACATTCTGATTTTGAAATAATCAATAATGCATAGAGTTGGTTAAAATAATATTAAAGCAACAATGACTATAAATCATAACCTTTATATCTTGTATATAATTTATTATTAAAATTAAATCTACATTTTTATACAGAATATACATAGTACAAACAGGACTCTACATACTTTACATTTTACAATTACAGGGGGCCATTAGTGTATAATATACATTGCCATTCTCTTATGTTTAAAATTTCAAAACTTAACTTCCTTAACTGTACAAGAGAACATCTCTGGCTTTTAACTTGCGTTTTGGATATAAAATCCTCATCAGGACATCTTGTTTAGGAATTAGAGTCTGAACAATCTTAAAGTGATATAATAAATGAACTACTGTATATCAACTGAGAGAGCTCAATTTCAGCTTTCCATTGATACTAAGATTTAACTCTAGCTGGTTTAGCTAATAGAGGAATATCCATTTGAAAGCCATTGTAAAGAAGTTTTCTATCCAATTTTCAACTAGATTTCTGTGGTTCTTGCAATTCCACAAAACCTAAGTGTTTTTTATCACATCAGGACCTTTGCAATTAGTGATGTCATCAAACACTTAGTTTTAGTGGAACCACAAACATCTGATTGAAAATTGGAATGATGTTATCAGTGTCCACCAATAAACATAATTTCTTTTTAAAAAAAAAAAACCTCTTTACAATCCCTTTAATGTGATACAATTCAAACTGGTAAGTAATGATACAATCTCTCTGTAGCCCATGAAAACTACAACAAGCCCTGGAGTACAATAATAACATGAAATTAACAGTGAAAAAATTAATAAATTATACAAACTGTTATAATTACACAACTCTCAACTTATATATTACATATTAAAGACATACTACCTCTTAGAATGGACTTTTAATTTAAACTCTCAACCTTGGTCAACAAGTGTATATATTTATCAGTTGGACTTACCAGAAGTCATGACTAAAGAATATAATCTCTATATCCATTAAACTAATTAATTATTAAAACATTCTTCTAATCATGTTTCAAAATTACTTAGTTTCATGAATTATTACTAAGTTTTATATATTTATTAGATTATAGAGGGATTCTGTTGTATAGTTATGACACCAGGTAAGTCCAACTGATGAACAAAGACTCATTTAAGCCAAGTTCAAAAAATTTTTTGGTCATCTCAAGAGGTAGTATAACTAAAATAAACAACCAAATCAACAATATTATCAGTGAAAGCTTCTATTTACACCACTGACCAAATGATGACATCACTACCTTAAATACCTATACAGCAATGTAATTTTTGTAGTAATAATGCCATACTTTGGTTAGTTCTTTTGAAATTTTAGGATCCACAAACACCAGACAAGCAATAAGAAGGGTCATAATAGAAGCTTTAAGTGTCCCTGATAAGTATATACATGTAAAAAGGTAAGAAATCCTCTTTAAGTAATGGATATTTAAAAGTCTGATTGAAAAGATCATCAGACTTTACCTCAAAATAAAATAGACTGCTCTAGATAATGGAATCATCCTGGCATGTGCATTAATATAATTGCCCATTATATCACCAAGCAATAAATCATCACTTACTTAGCTTTCTTTCAATAACCTATAAATTTATCTATTTGTATAGCCCAAACAAAATATTGTCCAACAGCACATATATATCCTGGCATAAGACCATTTGTTCTATTAATCAAATCATCATAGAGAAAAAAACACCAACTTTTATATTTGAGGAAATAATTTCATATAATTCAATCTCAATTTTATATTAAATTCATAATGACAAATCACTTATTATATTGATATAATCAAAATAAATAAATTATGCCTCAAGTAAATGTCAAGATATTATAACCTACATCTTATACCTTGACTGCAATAGCTACCTTTCTTGTATCACAAACCTTTGTAAATGTTCGATTTAATTGGATTGTATACTACTGAATACAGCAAATCAGTACCGCAACTGAAAGACAGAAAACTATTTGGTTATTTGTTATTTAGGGCTATGATTTGCAGTATTCGGTAGCATACAATCCAAATAAATACATTTACAACCTACCGTAATACAAAAAAATGTTGCTATTGCAGTCAAGGTATTAGACGCTTGATGTTGTGAAGATGCTATTAAGTGTAAATTATAACATTGAGCAAATTTACTATTAAATAATTAAAATATAAATGAGCTATATTTATATTGGTAAATATATTCCTCATATTTCAACAAAAAATAATGTTATACTTCAGAGCTAATTGGTGAAAACATATATTTAATGAAAATATTTTTGAATGCATGAATGCATTTTTTTCTGAATATTATTAACTATCAGTGGGTGGCATTTATATACTATTTGAATTTTGTTTGCATTAAAGGGATTGTAAGGAGGTTTTCTAAATTGTGTATGTGTGTATCAGGGTCACTGATAGCATCAATTTGCACCATTTTGTCAGAAAGATGATGTGTGAGATTCCACTATTATATTCTTAATTGTCCTATTCTGTAGTTCCTGAAATTCCACTAAAACTAACTGTTTAATAACATCATTAATCGCGAAGGGCCTTAAGTGATAAAGCATGTTTTGTGATTAGTGACTTGATAGACCACTTAGTTTTAGTGGAATTACAGGAAACACAGACATCTGATTGAAAATTGGAATGGTGCAAATTGATGCTATATGTGTCCCTGATACACATATAAATTAAGAAAACCTCTTTACAATCCCTTTAATATAAATCTAACATTAAGTAGTATCTTATGATATAAAGGCTGCCATGCAACATACTAAAAATATATCATTTCCAATGAATTTTGTATCACAGCTTAATCCAATATGCATGTTCTATAATACATGTACACATATATGAACAATCTGATTAAGATGCTAATCTAGATGTTGCGTTCCATGATTTTCTTTGAGTAATTCCACTTGTTATCCATGATCTGACAAAACTGTTATTCACCTCTTGTGTTAGCAGAAAGATGTTCTGATAGCTTTACTATATATGTGAGGAATTTTGTCTTAACGCAGCTTGCATTTACACAAAAGCAATTATCTATTTTTTTTAATTTGATGCAGAACAAAATGTTAGGAATATTGTAAAAAGAGATGATGCAAATAGAAGCTGAAAATTGTCACACATATCTAAGGATAAAAACTAGTGCTGGCAATGCGACATACCACAATATGCTTATCGTATCATGAGGTCACATATCGATACCTTTCATTCCATAAAAAGTGCAGATTTTTATAAGTTGTTTTATGATATAACAATTTTTTTCACTGAAATTGTTAAAAACTTTTTATAAGACAGTAGACTTTAACCACTTCTATCAACAATATTACCAAATATCACAGTTAGAAAGTTATAAATTGATATATTTAGAAACTTTGAAGATAAAATGTTAATCCCATTACTCCATATTCCATTATTGATATTGTGACCCTTGTATCACGATATGTATTGTATCATGGCATTATAGACGATACCCAGCACTACTAACACCCTTAAACAATAAATTTTAAACAATGAACTTTATTTCTCGATAAAAAACATTATCACAAGAATTGACTTTATTTTTGAGAAATATCATATTATCACATGACTGTATGTTATTTTTGACAAATATTATATCATCACAATCATGAACCTTATCATAAGGATGTACACTATTTTTTGATAAATATCATATTATCACATGGCTGTACTATATTTTTTCACAAATGTTATATCATCACAATCATGAACTTTATCATATAATCATAAGGATGTACACTATTTTTTGATAAATATCATATTATCACATGACTGTATGTTATTTTTGACAAATATGATATCATCACAATCATGAACTTTATCATATAATCATAAGGATGTACACTATTTTTTGATAAATATCATATTATCACATGGCTGTATGTTATTTTTGACAAATATTATATCATCACAATCATGAACTTTATCATATAATCATAAGGATGTACACTATTTTTTGATAAATATCATATTATCACATGGCTGTACTATATTTTTTCACAAATGTTATATCATCTGTTGTATATTAATTTTTGATAATATCATATCATCACAAGGTTGTATTTTATTTTTGAAAATATCATCAAAAAACTATACATTATTTTTTGATAAATACATCATCACAAGAATGTATATTATTTTTTGACAAATATCATATCTTCACAATTTTGTTATCAGTATAATAATATGTTTAAAAATTCAATAGACAATAGATGCACTGATATAATAGATATGCATTCGTATATTATATAGTCATTTTCATATTGAAATATCTCATTGAAATGCCCATGTGAAATTTACCCTAAATATTTTATTAATATCAACAATCAAATTCCATAATATAACATCAGACTGGACCAATATATTTTCTTCTTTCTTGTTTCTTATAAAGGCAGGATGGAAAAACACTAAGCGTTTTATGATCACATAATGACTTTGTGATTAGTGGCGTAACAAAACACTTAGTTTTAGTGAGATTGCAGGAACCACAGACATCTGATTCAAAATTGGTATAGTGCAAATTGATGCTATTAGAGTTTTTTTTACTGAACACAGCAATATATCAGCTGAGACTTTAAATGAATTTCATTATAGCATTTGCATCATTATCTGAAGAATTTTCAATGAAGCTTCAAAAAGAAGCTCAATTTCATTTTTTCATTTTGTACCATTATCGTCAATTCTAGAATTTATAAGTGAATAACTCCCAGACACAAAAATCATAACATTCATATGCTATAATATATATGAATATCTATTACAGTTTACCATGTATCTATAAATATAAAATATACTAAGCAAAGTTCATTTTCAAAATATTTTGGTTAACTTCAATGTTCAATAGTCCTACCCCACCACTGTTTCTCTTTTTCGTGGCATCTGAGCTTAATAAATTCTGAATATATTGTTGAGCATAGCTAACACAGTTAGATATTGAGAGATTATTGCACTTTGTACTAATAAAATAAGATTAAAGGGATTATACAGGGGTTTTCTAAAATTTTTATGTGTATCGAGGGCACTGAGAGCATCAATTTACACTATTCCAAGTTCCATTCAGGTTCCTGCAATTCAACTTAAACTTACTGTTTGATGATATCAATAAAAGCATAAAAGGTCTTATGTGATAAAGCAATAAGTGACCTCATTAAACAGTTCTTTTATGTGGAATTGCAAGAACCACAACCGTCTGATTGAAAATTGGAAAGGAGCAAATTGATGCAAATCTATAAAAAAAAATTAGAAAAACCGTTATACAATCCCTTTAATAAATATATGGTATCATTTTATACATCAATGGTTGGGTTAATTGCATACAAAATACAACACACAAGGTTATAATCACAACAAGGTTATAATCAATCTATAGGTCAAAAAATCAACAAAATAAGTCTGTAATAGTAGTGAACTTTAAACTGATCTCAATTTTCCAGACTTTTTCTTAAGAATCACACTAGTTAATGCAATCTGGAAAACTAAGAACAAATTTAATTTCCATGTTGTCACATTGGTTAAAATTTTTTTTTTACAATATAGACAAACCCAATTGCTGATTTTCAATTTAAAAAGTGATACGGATGGTTAAAATTGTCTTCTATCAGCGGTCAAAGCAAATAATCAAAATATCAGAATAAGACAATGATACAAATTGTAAATTTTGACGCTCAAATCTACTGTTTGAGAATGTGTATTAAAAAATAATGAAAATCACATGACTTAAATATATTGTTCCTTGATACACGTAACAAAGCGATCCCTTTCCGTAGAAAATTATAAAAAATCATCACTAGCTAAAAAAAAATCTTTAGAGGAAATCTTACTCTGTATTCCTGCTTAGATTTTATATATGTTCTAGGTTTTTTCTGCTTCATATGTTCTGATTAATGTAATCAGCAGTCTTTTAATCTACATCATAAAAACCTTGTGTATTCTCTAGAGCTAAAACTAATTTTGACCGAACTTCTTGATAAGAATCATAGGGTGGTAGATCTATTCTGTTAAAACTGAAATTGTAGGAAAAATTATCATCAATATACAGTATATATAATATTTCATAAAACTTACATCTAAAAGATGACATAAATAATGACAACAAAATAACTTTCAAAACAACAAAAGACTGGTTAGCTGCAACACAAACTTTCATGGATTTCAAAGTAGTCAAAATCCTGATCTTAAAGTATTTCTTTCAAGTTTTTCTGTGGGTGACATGTGTGGCAAAACACATTTTGAGCAGTTTAAAAATTCATTTTCACGTCAGTTAAAGGGAAAATTGATGCTATCAGTATTCCCTATACACATAAAAAAAATTCAAAAAACCTCTTCACAATCCCTTTAAAGTGGTTCTAAGAACAGTATATACTTGTAATTGAATCTATGAGAGCACACACAGTTTACTGAATGCAGGTTTTGATATGTTCTTATTAACCCCTATTAAACAAAGCCCTTTATACTTCCTCATGTGGGCGTGGAAATGAGACTGTTTCTGTTTATATCTGACCAATCAGACCACGGTTAAAAAAGGGATGATGGACATGTAAACAAAACACTGTTTAGTTTTGATTTTCTGTCTGCTTCAATTCTTTCCCCAAAATATCACTTGTTTCTTTAACATCCTTTTTAATCAAAACATTTAATGAAACACTGCTTCCTTTTTAGAACTAGTGATTTGATTGGCTGAGACTTCCTAGAAAGATTTTAGGGCCAATTTTGATTGGACATTATTTGATTTCTCTCACTTTAATTACCTTGTGTTTTGGACATGATAGCTAATAATATGATTTGGAATATTAATTGATGACTATAATGGAATATCTTACCATGTATGAGCACGAGGTAATTGAGCTGTTTTGCCCCATTTTTCTATAGTAAATAACTGTGGACCATTACTACCATATAATTCAGCAAAACCATTCATAGGAACACGAGAGGTACCAGTGACAAACTGTAACAATCTGGCTCTCATTTCATTGTGGAATGAATATACAACCTGAATATCGTACAAAAATATAACTTAATATCTCATATTCTTCAGTTCAAATGATAATATTATGAAGGGATTATCTTATTCTTCAAATAATGATAGTGTAGTGAAAACATTGATGATATTTCTTGGTTAAATGATGATATTGTGGAGGCTTTTCTTCAGTTTAAATAAGAATATTGTTACTGATTATCGTATTCTTCAGTTCAAATATGATATAGTGAAAACACTGGTTATTCTTCAGTTCACATGATGATATTTGAAGGCATTGATGATATTCTTCGGTTAAACGATGATATAGTGGAGGCATAAATGATATTCTTCAGTTCAATGGATTATCTTATTCTCAAGTTCAAATATGATGCTAGAAGGCATTGCTAGTATTCTTCAGTTTACATAATTATATTGGAAAGGCAATATCTGTTATTCTTCAGATCATTTAGTGATATTGTAAAGGCATTAATGGTATTCTTCAGTTTACATAAAGTTATTTGAGGGACATTATCAGTTTCATTATCATATTTATGATATTCCTTAGTTCAAATAGTGATATTGTGGAGGTATAATGGTGTTCCTTGGTTAAAATACTGATAATGTGGAGGCATTAATTGTATTCTTCAGTTCAAATATGAAAATTATGGCCACAGTACGGTAATTAATCATCTTCCCATTATTCATGTAACGTTCAAAAATTCTCGGAGATACGGTCAATAACTTTAACTAAACTTCATATTTATTTATCAATTTTACATAAAACTTTTTACAAACATAAAACATGTACAATCTGAAACCAGCTCCAAAGTTTGTTCTGGTTGATTTAGAATTTTGGACATCTGATTGTTGTCTATCCAAATGATATCTTTACACTTAACTGAAAAGTGGCTATAAGTATCAGATATGTTAAGCTGCTATGACAGCAAGATATGCTTACTCTTATAGACACCTAATACCACTCTTCATTATGAAATACTTACTCACTTATGATTGATATACTTCCTCATGTGGCTGCTAATAATGTTTTGCCAATATGTTGAGTTGGATTTCAAGTTTCGTTTTGCGGTTTGGAGCATTAGTACTTGGTTAATGTATTCAAATAACTTACCCTCCAGAAATGTATGACTGTTGGGTGATTAGGATTATATTCTCCTTTATATAAGGTATGTGATTTCCAATCATTAACATCTATATCTTGTAATCCACACATCAATAACTATAATTATATTATAATAAACCTTATTTAACTTCACTATACAACTAGCTTGCCAGACAGAGTAACATATGCCCATAACAACAGCTAGAAAGCTGCATCATGTTCATGCATTGAATAGGTCAACTTTGAACTTTTAGAATGAGAAAATTTTTCTACAAAATATCTAACTTGAAAACCATCCCTTTCCTCAAATCAAAATTTAGACTTTTTAAAAATGGCTATGCCAACCAGTACTGACCTCCAATTCATTTTCATCAAATATTTGTATCAAATTCTGTGGAATGATGGTATTAAAACCTTTCATTAATGATTTCATCTGAGACTCAACACGAGACACAAATCTATACTTAATAACTTCTCTGAAAGTAGAATTAAACTTATACATATTTAAGTATGTTATGTCCATTATGAATAGCAAATAGACAGACAAACTGCTTTTTGTTTCCTTCTGAGCTGGTCATCACTTCCAATCCATGATCTGCCAAAATTGTCATGAAAAAGATGTTCTAGGTCATCAAAATATTCAACTAATCAGATGCTCTGTTCAATTATTTAACAATAGTCCACTGATAATACTGTCTCTGATTAGCGTAATACAACTTACTTTATATATTCTAATTTATTTTCATTTGTAACTCTAATATTGGCTCCATTTGCTTTTAATTCAAATTCTTGAATCTATAAATAAAACATTGACATCCTTACAATAATGAAAGGTAAAAAAACTCAGAAAGGATAGTTTATTACACTACAAATTATAAACTACAAATTCAAATCAGAGCATACGCAAGTCTACATTAACTAATGGAAGATGCACCATTAGCAACCTTCTCTTTCTATTTCCAAATCAGGTTAACATACACATATTAATTGTCCCAACAACTTAAAGCATTTTCATGTCAACTTGATCACAAGTTAAAGTAATCAATTAATACAATCAAACTTACCTCTCCAAACTGATCTTCCTCTACAGAAAAATGGAGTTCTAAATCTTCAGGGTCGTTATCTTGTATCCATATTAATGAATTATAATATTCAGAATCCTGGAGTAAATAATGTATGTTATGCTGAAAGGTGGGGGAGAGGGGGTGGGGTTGTATCATAACAGACGAATGATCAGTAACTTGACACAATGGTCATCAACAAAGCTACCAAATTCAATTTTTTTTTACCATGGCTTACTTAACAGTCATTTTACAATTAATACTCTAAATTTGGGATAGTTGAAAATAATAGATAAATTTATATATTGCCATATGGGACACCCGGAAACAATATATCAATACCAATCTCTGTGTATTAATATTGACAATATTTTTCACTCTACTTTCACTTTTCTTTCAGTCAGTCTCTGATTATGGTTGTTGTAATTTTTCCATGTATAAAATTGGTGTTGTTAATACTTTGTATAAATGTTACGAGTAACTATTTTTGATATCTTTATTTCCATTTTAGGCTCAGCTAAACTAATTAAATATGACGTTAGTTTTAGTATTGTTTATGACAATCAAAAACAAGTATATTGTAGACAAAATGGCAGCCGCTGATAAAATGTCAATTTTGGTTTCTGAACAATCAACTCTATGACAATATGCAATATATCGCAATATGTATCACAATACAGGGAGATTTATTCCAATATATATCAATATGATTTACAGCCTCAATAAACAGCCCTATCTAAAGATGACTGCCGGTGCCTCTGTGGAATAGAGAGAAAAACAAATTCTTACCACAGATTCCATATCACGTAATGTTATAGGTTTTCTTAACATCATCTTATAGAATGGACGAATAAAGAAGCCTGAAATAGATTATTATATAAAACCAAATATTAATTATTTTCCCAGAAGGTGTCAGATAAAGACTGAAATTCTAATTAGACATTTTCCTTTCATTTTAATCATAGCTTTGTATCAGAATACAATAAATACCTTAATTCAACTAGAATTTATGTTAGGCATTCATTCTCGAGCAACTGATGCCAAGCTGCAACAGGCTTCATCAATTACATCCCTTTTCAAGAGTTGATAAGACTGTCCTGGAGGTATGTCAAGCAGTTAGCTTTAAGCTCTTGAATCCAAATCCAAAAACTTTGTAGTGATTCAGCTCTGATGGAATAAGTACTGTGACAGGTGTTGTTAGTGAGGCAGGCTCTTATTGAGTAGATTTATCAATCTGGCATCCCTTTCAGATGGTCCACATAACCAATATTGTTTATATGAAATAATCTTACCATCTAATAATTTGCCGTGATAAATGGCCATACCAGCAACACGACCAATAAATTCAAAAAATGATAAATGTTCTTCATTGGCCATCCAGGATAATGGGTTGATTTGTAATGTATAATTGTCTCTGAAAGAAATATCCCAAAATACCACATCAAGACACAAACTTAGTAAAGAATAAAAAGAAATCAATCCCACAAAAATAGAAACACATGTATACATATATAATATAATATACCATTTCTGATTCAAGCAATTTGTGAATTTATGTTTTCAGACCAAGTCTAAACCTGTTAGTTAAGTTTAATCTATACATACGTGGCTGAATATTCAAACAGACCATAATAAGGATTGAACATTTCTTTAGATAATAAATAAAACCATTCTCTAGCTACACCACCATAATCTAAACCTGTTTCACCATCAAATTCTATCCATAACCTACAACATATACAATAAATCAACAGTCCAACATTATGACGTCATAAACTCTGTAAGCAATAGTGATGTCATTATCTGATCAGATAGAATTACTGGAACCACAGACTGTGATGGTAATGGTGCAAATAGAAGCTTAAAATGTCCCCAAAACACATGAAAAAGCTGCAAATACTTGTTTGAAAGCATATAATAAGCAACAGAAATAAAAACCAATTTCCCTACTTGTGTTTTTAATTCTCATTGTCTTTAATGTGGCTGCTTTTGAGAAGAAAAAAAGCAAATGTACCTTGTTTTTAAATGCTCTGTATCTTTAATATTCATAACATATCTATAAGACTCTTCAAATACATTCTTCCTAGTAACTTTAATATCAATTTTATTTGGTGCGTTGACCTGCAATACAAAAATAAAGAAATTAAATGTAGTATACGAAGTAACCTAACAAAATACCCATTTTGACCTAGGCCAGTGCTTTTATGATCTCTTCACAATCTAACATAATACCATCCCAAAATTTTTAAGAAAGCTGAAAAATTTTTCTCAAAAAAAATAATTTGATCATATTGGTAACTTGGTTATTATATTATAGTTTACATGACAGTAACTTACTGGTCGGCGTAATTTGGATCTAAAATAATCATATTTTCTTTTGTAGTCTCTAGAATATGGAACAGCCTGTAATGCAGAAATAAACCTCAATTATCAAGTTGAAAATAAAAAACATTTTGTTTTGCTCTATATCATCTTAACATATAATCATAATTCAAATTCTTCAATAACATAAAATCTATGATGAGTGCATAGCGTAAAGTCAAGTTCTGTTTTAATATTTCTAAAACCTATGTTAAATTATAGATAAGATTACTTACTGGACCACCTAATTTCTTTAATCTAGGATCTTCCCACTGGGTTTGATGTGTATCTAAAATAAACATGATATGTATTATATATAAATGAAGAAGATATGAAAAATTGATATGATAATGGCTTTGGTTATGATATTTAAGCCTATATAATGATTATGTGATAACCCTTAATAATATACCAGTAATTATGTTAATGATGTACACATGATGTAATGATGTTAATGCAGTAACCACAACATACCAAGTGATAAGGAAGCAATAATATTATTAACAATAATAATGCATATGATAATGATGATAATGATGTACAGTTGATTCAAGATGGTAATAAATGATAATGAAGATCCTAATGATAATGATAAAGTTGATGATGCTTAAAATGATGATGCTGATAAGCAAAATGGCTTACTGTGATCAATATAAAAGACACGACCATCTGCATGTACTCTTTCTTCCCATCCAGACTAAAATATAAAAAACAACCCAAAATGATATGCCAAACAAAAAAGGGAAAAATATTATAAAATTGTATTTTATTTTAACCAAAGAATCACACAAAGAGTTAATATCTTTCTGTCTACTGACAAAAACTCCTAAAAATCAAAGAGTTTACATACCGGCAATGGGCCCAACTTTGTGGCAAGATCTTCATTAGATGATGGTCTGTGAATTGGTGAAGTTGTGCAAGAGGAAGCATGAATAGATGATGGTCTGTGTTTTCGTGGATCTTCCTGAAATCAGACATAGTTCAATTTAATATTGTTCTGCATACAATAAACACCCACACGACCATTTTATTCACAATAATAAAGATATTTTCTCTGAATGGCTGTAATAGTTTATCAAGATACAGCTCTA